ACTCAGGATCATCCTTGAACAGTCAACGCGATATACGCAACGGTCACAAACCCACGGAAACCACCCCTTCAGCTGCAAGAAACCAAACTTAACGAACACCTCGTGTCCCCGGAACGCAACGACGGTAAACACCACGAGGCGGTTATTTCGGAAGGATCAGTCGAGCAACGCGCGAAAACTTATGCGGTACTAATTTGCGCGTGGGCACAGGTTACGGCCGGTTAATTACGAGGCCGAAAGTACGGCGAACATCAGAACGGTATGGACAGATGCCTGAGAAAATATTGGTCGATGGAGGATGGGGGGAGGGGGAGAGAACGCGTAAACACGGACGGTTGCCAAAAATTCCGCGGTCGAGGAGATACATACGTCTCCCCTGTTGCATCGCGACGACGCAATTAACACCGTTCGGAGGACGACGCCGTGCACGCAATTATCGTGGCATCGCGTGGGCGTCGCCGGGGCACCGAACGAAATAAATATTACGCGAAGGCAATAAAAAAATCCAGCTCGCTGTAGGCCTCCTTAAACTTGATTTGTGCGCAATTACCGCGCTCCTCTTCCACCCACCCTCCTCCCGCCGTCTTCGTGCCCCCGGCCACCCCATTACACGATCCCGAGGATACTCTTATTATAAGATGCCGGGGCGAAACAGACACGTACGGCACGGGGGACGTCGCGACCGATTTTATTTATACGCAGCGCAAACCACCCGCGTCTCCGTGGCATCGCGATGCAACGAGAACACCGGGAGAACGAAGCGACCAACCGCGACGCGGCGGAGGGACAAGGCGGACGTGAAACGTCGAGCAATTCGTTTCGCATTTTATATCCGGCCGTGGTTCGGTCTCTTTCTCACTCTGCTGGCTGGTTCAGCTCCGCGGATGACGTTGAAAACGAGGATTATTTCGATCCACGGTTGAAGTATTAACTTCACTCTGGAGAATATAATGAAATTTTCTGCTGAGATGGAGTTTGGATTTTAATAGTTACAGGTTCGATTTAACTGGTATATACAGAATTCGAGATAGAGTTTAAAGTTCCATTCTATAACAACAGGCGAACGACGTGGATTTTAGGGGAACTCGAAGAAACGTGGGAGGGAGACGAAAGGGGGTGGGTGAGACCACCACCGACTCTTAAACATCATGGTAAACAGGGGGCCGTTGTAATTCGGATGCTGGCGCAGGTGCTACGTGGAAACATCTATCAAGATAGCGAGATACGAACGAGGGGACCATTCCGTCCTCTGTAAAGAGAATGCAGGGGTAGGGGGTAGTGGGTGGGCGGAACGGTGGATCAACTCGAAGAAACGGGGGATTTCACGGACAGGGAGGCATTAAGCTTCCACGAGGGCGCTCTCGTCGTCTTAACCCTTTCCGTCTGCTACCGGATCGGACGGAATTAACTTTTCTGTACGACGTGCGAGTCCTCGACAAGCAGCACGTCGGGGGGTGGGTGTTTTCTGACTGTTTTCGGGGATCAATCCCCTTTCGATAAACTTGTTTGGTACTGTTCAGTCTCCGGGGGGCGCCTAATTTTCGCAGATGGCGGGATTAACATCCTGATTGTTCGTGTTGGATCGTAATACAATTCTTAGTACCCTGTGATAAATTTCAATCGCTTCTATTTATCAAAAGAATTTAATACCGAGAACTTTCTGACGATGAACAAAACATTACGTTTCATTATGTACTTCATCTTTATTATCTACTTCTACTACATACACTACCAGCCGTAAGTACGTGGAACACTTATTGAATATGTAATACAGTAAATCATCCAGGGGAGATCCACAGGTGTAACGTTAACTTTTTAATGATATTTAGCACAGTGATAAAGCTTGGAAATTTTAAGCCAATCATATTCGTTTCAGCCGCATATGGCCATTAGTTTCTGAAATATTTAATGTTCAGTCTCGAGGAGCTGTTCAACCACTCATCGAAGATTTACCGTAACTGTTATTGAATAAAAATATTGAAGCACGATGAACAATCTCATAAACGTTGCCCAAAATATACACCATAGTTTCTTAATAGAAAACAGGTGTTCTAATACTCATGAAACGGTAGTGTATATATCCTCTCGACAGAAAGAACGAACTAGGACTGTATAAATTCTGTGCTACTCAAACATTCTAAAGAAACCGACTGGAAAACCCTTCCACGTCACTGTATAAAACAAGCAAAGTTCTTTATCGAATCGTAATAATTCACGAACACCTTTTCGCATATCAAACAGCCATAAACACGTTTAGGAATTCCCGCGTCCGTATGATCCACCTGGCGTATTTCAATCCGTATCCCAACATCGGCACTTAGCCGTTACCATCGTGCCCACTCAAACCTTTCCCGCGCACGAGTGGACGGTGGTCGTATCGCGCTTATCAGCCGCACCTGCAGCCGCGTTCTAAGCGGATCCAACCACCTACGAGAGTTCGGTTAACCTGTTCACGATCGGCTCCAGTTCGCTTTCAACCATCGAACGGCAAAAAAAAAATAAAAAGAAGGAAGAGATTCTGAGAGGGACAGACAGAGAGAGTAAGGGAACGCGTACGCAGCCGCGTGTGCACGTAGCGAATGGTATCTCCGCGTTGCTCCTTATCGCGTTTATGGCGAGCCGAACCGAAAATCTCCGTGGAGTACACGCGCCTCGTGAGTGCGTTTATCGGTAGCGTCAAAATTCAGACGGAATTTACGGTGTTCCCGTTCCGATACACACAGTGGAGAAACGTCGTGGCCAGCTGGGAACAAGAGACGACGACGAAGTGTGGAGGGAGAAGACGTCGTTGCGTTGGTTCTGGAAATCGGTCGAATGCAAAGCGAGAAGGTGCCCCGGTGTCTTGTCTTTCGCTCTTTCTGTTTCGCGACGGCCCAGATACGAAAATCGTAAAGTCTCTACATAATAACGGCTAGTATAATCCGGCACGGCACTTCGCGCCGAGATTAAAGGTGCATAAAGCGGGCCGGTATAAACGTTTTACAGGCAGCTCGCCTACCTGGCTGCCAAGCCGCGAAGGAGATATTATTTTAAACGTCTCGTTACGTCGCTGCCAGCGGTTCGACAACGTTACGGTTTTATTCCGTCGCCCCGCGCCGGGAATTATGGGCTCTTCACCGCGCGTGTGGTCGACGCCTTTCGCGCGCGCGCGCGCGACGTTCCATCGTTGATGACGGAAGAATAGTCGGGCCCGCGAATCGTTAAGGTTTACGACGGAGAAAGTTCGATCGGACGCGTAACGTGGGAACAGGCCGCGAGAGTCGGGAGGAACGCTCGAAAATTGGGGGAATGTCCGTGGGTGGTGTTACTCGGTCGTAAGAAACGAAACGGCCGCTCGTAAATAACACTGTTGCTTGTCCCCGTGTTTCCGCCCTTGCCCGTTTTCTAGGTCTACCGGTTAATAGTTGCGCAACAACGAATTTGTAATACAATCGCGAAGGGTTCTCGGAAAGACAGACAGAAACCTCTGAATCCAGAGACCCTGAACACACACGGGTTGTACTGCCGGATCCTCGAGTACCTCCATTAATAAAGTTTTTATTCCGACGTAAAAATAAAAAAGAAAAGGAAGAAAGAAACGAACGTTTCCGTACCTTATGAATCGTAACTTTTCCGTGTTTACGACCAGTCCGCGGGATTCCTTGGTCGAAAGCGAGAGCAGGAGAAAAAAGAAATTCAATCTTGCTGGGTGGACGCGGAAACGGGCACGCCGGCCCCGTGAACGGTTGCAATTTTCCTGAAAATGGAAGGCACGCCGCGGAAACGCTTCTCCCCTTAATTCACAGAGTGAGAAACGCGCTTGAAAGAAGAACTGAAAAAAGAAACGTCCCCGCCAGAGACACATACACACTCCACCCTCTCCACCCATATTACTCGGAATTTCCTTTCTTACAAACGAGTCTCAACATACTTTCACGTAATAACTGTTCTTACCTCCCAGCAGTTTTCCTCTATCTTTACGAACAATGCTCGTAGTACCTAGCTTCAATCGAGTCTCTAAACGTCCCGTTATTGACAGACAGATTCTCCAGAAAAAAATTTCACGATTGTCGATCTGATATACGATACACACGCACGCACGCCATAAGCTGTAAATCGTCGAATCGGGCCACCGTCGAATGTATTACGTCAGCAGCCCGATTCGAAAGAACGGTCACCCAGCGCGGCATAAAATTCTTTTCCTCTCCGTGTTAAATCCCTTTCCCGCTGCGACTGCGACCGCGAGAGAGAACCCATTGAAACGGCGGTTTTATCTTCGACAGGGGGCACGCCAAGAATGTCGCGGGCTCGACAATGGCAACAGCCTCGAGGCGGCGGGGTGGCGCAGGTACCGCGGGTATTTCGAAATCCGTCGTCCGTTACCGTTGGTTCCTCGTATTTCGCGTGATTGGCGCGCTGAAATAATCAGCTTGTCGCGCAGCGGCGGGCCGGGCCACGGTTCGTTTCGTTTGACGGACGAGAGTAATTTCGCCGTGTCCGGAATCCGTGTATCACGCGCTCCGCGCTGTATCCGGCCGAGCCAAAAAGACCGTTCCAGCCGGGCACGCAGCTCCGCCATTGCCTAGGTGTACACGGAGAACCTTGTCGCCCTGGAGAACGGCGCGGATTTTCGTCGATCCCGACAAGGTTCCAACGTAGAATTTCCTCTTATCGTGTATGGTTTATGGGTCACGGATGGATAATCACCGCGACGATACGGAGGGGAAAAGATGAGAAAGTTTCTTGAAGTTCGCTTTTGTCTTGAGTTAGGGTTACTTGGAATTGTTAGAGGCGTCGAAAGTATAACCACTAGTAATATTGACGTACTGAATACTGTTTGAAAAATGCATGCAAGTTACTGAGAATTATGGAATAGTAACATATGAAATGTTACTTAATTTTTAAAAGACTAGGTAAGATTGTTTAGTGAAATATTTTGATCATCAGTTGTTCGGTAGGAAGAGGAATCATAAAGAGATTTCATATGTTAAAAATTGGTAACAGATTTTTCAGGTACTCACCAGTTGTTAACTTGAAGGATCGTCAACCCCGTGTCCTGAGCCAGCTGTTTCTTCTGGTCTTCCGAAGGGTACGGATGCTGCAACCGAATAAAAAGAAATAATTGAATATCTTCAATCTGAATACTATATCGAACGATTAAGATTCAGGACACCCGACACAATCACTTGCAATTCACATCATCTGAACGATATAAAAGTTCAATAAAAGAAAAATCTATAATACACTGAATTTCATAAACGGAATAGTAACAAATTTTCCACCGTTTTCAATAATCCAATGAAACTTACAACTCGAGCCTGACGCGAAACGCAAACACCTCTGTTTCGTCCTCCAGCGAATGACCTACTGAATCGAAGACTCGAGTGATGGTTTGTCCAGGTCAACCGCGGAAATATTCGGGAATAATCGTCACCACTCGTAGATCGCAGATAACGTCGCGTCCCACCGCACAAAAAATATCCAACAGCCCAAGGACAATTTCCGTATTATTTACGGCCGTCCTTCGACGAGGAAAAGCCCAGGCAGGCGTTCACGTTTCGTCGCAGTCGGTCATGCTTTTAAACAATTTATCGGATGATTTATCGCGTAGCAGGTAAGTGCACGGAGCGCATAGACGCGCGCGCGCGAGAAGTTTTATCTACGCCACGGCAGCCACGTTACAGGCGTCGCGGCCCGTCTGGACGCACCTGTGAGATATTATTTATCGCCGGGCAACAACAACAATAAAAAAAGGAACGGGGAAAAAATACGGCGGGGAAAGGGACGAAACTCTGTAAAAAAAAGAAAAAAATGCATGGAAAAAAGCTGCATGGCGCAGACGAGTGCGTTTTATCGCTGTATGGCATCGGCGCAGATGCGCTTCTTGCGGACACGACGCGATCCGTCCCCGATCCTCTGGTATTGGCTTTCACGGGAAGGACAGACTTTACGAGGGACCCGCGGAGATATACGGGAGAAAGGTCAGCCGTCGACAGCGGCGAAAGAACGAGCTTCGAATCGCCGGTTTACAAGATAATCTTTCGGGTTCGCGAATTATCGAAAGAAGTCGTCGCTATTGCACGACAAGATGGCGTCCACGACGTCGTTCGCGGAATTGAGAGACTGCGAGAAATATCGCGAACTCATTCGAAGTCTACCTTGCACTTTAGAACACCTTAATTGTCCACTTTGTAGCAAATGTATTGCTTCGAAGAATATGGTCTGTGATATCTATTAAAATTATATACCTATATGTTGTACATAAAATATAAATTATACATAGTATATAACATTCTCCATTAAAATTATCCAGCATTCCGAGGGTGATAAATCTTCTTACTGAACCACCGAGACGTACACACCCTAATCATTGTCTGTTCAGATCGCGAAGATCGAGAGTCTATTTCAAAGTTTCACGAGAACCCCGATCGCGATTAGTCGCGACGCAACAAGTAGATTAACGTCGGCCCGTGAGTCAAAGAAATTTCATACGCGTGTTTTCGCACGGGGGCAGCGGGGCGCGAGTTTGCACGCGTGTCGTTCGTCTTCCTGTTGCTTGGGCGCCCATCGCCGCGAAGAGGGAGGGAGGGTGGGGACCGAAAGATCCCGGCCCCGCCGCGAGCGCGAAATTAATGCGAACAGTAACTTCCCTGGAAGAACGATGAGATTTATACACGAATTTATGGACTCGCGCGGCAAGACCGATGGAACAACCGAGGAGTGCATCATTTATGCATCTAGCTCCCAATTTCGAGGCCGCGCCGTAGCCTTTTGAGCGGTTGCCAATGGCCGTCTCCGACGTCACTTTCCTCTAGACACGACAGAACATTCCCCCCGAAAAATTGTTAGGAATTTATCTGAACCCGAATCCTTAGAACTTTCGTCATATTTAGTTGTCTATTCTTTTTTTTTATATAGATTTAGATGTCAGTAGTATGAATGTTCAAGAACGAATGATATCGAAGAGAAATTGTATTTCGTAATGTTGCAGAAAATCTGACCTTAAATTTCCACAGGTTTTCCTACCACTCGGCCGTTAACTCGTTAGAGACCCTAACGGCGATAATAGGAGCACCCGCGAGGGTTGTCAGGATGCAATCTCTCCTTGCATTAGGAATGAAAAACGACGAGGCTCCGGTGGAACGTTGGAAAAAAAAAAAAGAAAACGAGACACGCAATCCACGGATAATCTTGTTAATTACATTACGAGCTACGCGAAATACCGATCCCACGGGGACGATGCCAGCACGTGCATCTTAATTTTCATCTTTTATTAGCCCGCGTCGCGATATTAAAGTCACGTAATCATCGCTGGACAGAACAAATCGCGGACGCAACGTTATCTATCTCCCAGGGATGCATAAAACACCGACGCGTGTTACAAAATGGTGGGTTGTCACGGGTTGAACACGACTGATATCACTGATAGGTGTATTTGACTGCTCTTTTATAAACGATAGCTGTTTAGGATGATTTATACGGGTACGTAAAAATAAAGTCTCGCTTAATCTCGAGCCTCGTCAATTTTGTATGTTCATAAAAGTATAATCGATTACGGGTCTTTTATAATACCGAGGGGAAACAAATTATTGCTCACTTCACGCGTAATAATGCTTTCGTTCAGTCCCAGAGAAACACGAAAACGTTTACAAAGTTCGCACCTACAGTTTTAATTACCCCGATACGACGTACACGTTAATGAACGCCTGTTACGAAACCAGCGATTACGCGTTTACAAATTACTATTCGCCCGAAAACGAAAGTTATCATCGCAGCACGACTTCCTCAATTACAATCTTCGAGCGTGTCGGCCACGGTGAAAATCTCCGGGTTCCACGAACTTCCCTCCCGACGTTCATTACCGGCCTCCGATCGCGGCCAATTAATCGTCCCGCGATTCTCGTCTGCCCGCCGTCCGATCTCAATTAATCCTGTCGTTACAGCCGCGTCATAATTGGCGCCCGCAAAAAGCTGCCGTTCGATTAGACGTCGTTTCTTTTCGGCCCGCGATAACCGATTACGGAGTTATCGTGCCTCCTCGTGGCTCGGTTCGATTAAATCAGGGGTCGGCTTACGCGACCGCGACGACACACGCTTGATGATAATTCACGGGGCCCCCGCGCGATACACCGGCCATTATATTCGACGTGAAATCGGGTCCTCGAACCGATGCCAAGCAATATGTGTGTATGTGTGTGTGCAACGATGGTCGGTCAACTGATCCGGCTGCGCATAAAAGCCCGCGGCTGCACCGCAAGCGGCCGAACCGCATCATATTTTTACATAATTAGCACGTGGCGCTCGCGGTATTACGCCCCCCTCCCTCCTATACATCCCCCGTGTCCTCCACTGGCTCTCTCCCCCGATCGTAACTTTTTGCCGAAGCCTGTGGTATTTTTGGAAACCACCGTAGCCCGCAGATCCCCTCGCCCTCTATATCATGTTTCTTGGAGGCGAGCCACGGTATACATACAACCAGAAGCGTGGCTTCACTGTCCTAACCCACCCCCTGACCGCCTCCCCTCCCTCACGACAACCATCCCCTGCCTCTCCCCGGGCGAGCAAAAGCCCATTGTTGCGGCCGTGTATACGCGATCCAGGCGATTCTTATCCTAATTAAATCGGCCGAGAGCATTGTCTGGGCGTAGTGTTTCTATCGGATCTCCGCTGGTTACCTAGCGTTCCCTCTGTAACGTCATATCCGAGGAACGCCATGGGGAGGATCCTGACTATATGTATATGTTACAAGTACACCGCGCCGGGGCGCAACGGATTTGACGCGGATCGATTGACGATCCGGATCGACGCGCCGAGGGCCGTGTCACGCCGCCGGCGACAACAGGTTCGTAACTTGGGCGGCCATGATGCCTGGGCGATAGCAAAGTTTGGGTAAAGATTGTCTGGGATGTATCCTGTGAAATTTTGACTGAAGATAGCGATGTGATTTTGAGTACAGAGAAATAATGCCTTTTTTGCTGGAACCATATGATTATCTATATGTGTTAGTATTATATACTTCGTGTGGTTATCTAACAGTCGTGAGTAGAGCGTGTCGTTGAGTTATTACATTATTCAGTTAAAATACTTTCTGCTTTGTGTTCAAGTCATATGGCACACAATCGCGATATAACTTTTGTTTAATATTTATGCTTTATGTAGTTTATCTAAGTTTATGTTCTCAAATAACTAGTCCAATAAATACAGTGTGTGCGTCATTCATAACCCATCAATTTGGGATATTAGAGAATGAAAATGGAATTTGAAGCTTTAATGAAAGGGTGGGTATAAGACAAATTTACAGTTCACACTTCGTATGTGCAACGCGAATGATTTGTCCATACTGAAACGTGTAAAGATTGTTCTTGTCTACATTCCACCCAAAATTAACATCCTTTGACAAATTGAATGGACTGTAGATGAATCATTCATGTTGCACATATAAACTATAAACTGTGAATTCGCCTTAAACTACCCCCTCCACGGAAGCTTGAAATTCCACGTTCATTCTCGGATACATCCCAATTGAAAGTCATTGTTTTCGAATTTTTTTAAACAGTGACACCTAGAAGTTTCCGTGAAACACTGGGCTGGCTTGTATCGTCCCGAAATCTAAGAATTCTCCCCCACGTTCTAGCCTCGCACCAGCTCGGTCCCGTTGGTGTATGCATAAAACAATCAAGATAATTGTTGAAGCTACATGGGGACCGGCTGGCTGACTGCCTTCCACCCTCTTCTGGGATCGAGGTAGCTGCCGGAACGGCGGACGGAAGTGAACGGGACAAAGAGAGAAAGAGAGAAAGCAGGAGCTATCCAATTACATTGAAAACAATAGTCTTAAGTGCTCGCGGCGGTCCGTTCCGAGCTGCCGCCCCTCCCCCGTGTGTCCCGGTTGCGACCGATGCCTTTCCACGAGGGGTCGTCCACCCCCTCGGGCCACCCGTGACGATGCGCAACTTTGACTCGGTAAAAGTATTATCGCCGAGAGAAAGTTGCAGGTAACACTCTGCGAATTGAATGAATCTTGCAGACGTCTCTCTGCCGGGAACGTCTCTCGATTAAGAGATGGCACACGCTCGGTGCTCTATATAGGCGTGGTCG